AGTCTAGGTTCTCGAGATAAATTACAGGTTTAATTTGAATTATGCTTCTGTACATCCCATAAGGCACATCTGGGATGAAAGGGAGAATGATAATTCAAGTATTTTTTTGCTGTTTTTACTTTTGAAAGAAATTTTCTCTTTTTTTGTCCAGTTGAAACAAATTACTGTTGTGACCATTATTGTTGTGGTAGCAAAAATATTGACGTCACTGAAACGACGGAAATTCTGAAACGCTGTTGTCGGAAAGAACTAGAGTTTGGAGACGCTACCGTGATTTATCGCCATCAATTTAGCCACTGATACAATCACGAAATTTTCCATATAATGAATCAGCAAAGCTGCCAAGCAAAGAAACAGATCAACGGAAGGGCGCCTTGGTGACGAAATAATGAAAACTAATCACAATTTGTTGGTTGAAAGAACTGTCTGGAAAAAGCATTCTCAAATCACTGAGGTTAGTCATTGGTTGACAACAGTCAGCGGAAGATGCGCGGTGGGGAGAAATGGTGACAGAAGAAAAAGCTATGTAGAATAGACTGAAAAGAAAGGAAAAGGACTGCAGGGATCTGTAGATTTAGTTTATTTTTTAATGAAACAAACGATTTTTAAAAGAATAACAATTGTTGATTAACGCCATACTCACCTTTAGTGTTGCTGTGTTGGTGTTCTCAAATTTAGTCTTTAAACCTCTTTAAATTCACTAAAAATAAGAATTGGGTTTTTTTTTAATCTTTTTTAATAGACATCTATTATTTTACAATTTCGGGGACAATTTATACTTTTCACTTTACTGACATATATTTCCTTTTTTAAATTTATTTTTCTCTTCCGGTTTCTTTGTAACGTTTTTTTTTTGGAGTTGTTGGCGTAAAAATGATCTTTATCAGACCGTTAATCATTCAAAAACAACAGTCCTCTTCGAAATACACGTGAAACCAGCAGTCTCAACATCGTTGTCGTGCAATTAGCTGCTAAAAAGTTTGATGGGTATGAGGAAAAGAAAAGGAAGAGATCGCTTATTGCTATCCGCTTTTATTCATCGTTAATCACTCAACTTTTTTCCTGCTTCAACTTTTTTTGTCTTTATTTCTGTCCATTTTTTTTTTGTTTTTTCTTGTTTTATCACTTTCTGTTTGATAACATCAAAATTGTAGTGTAAGCAGTAAAAAAAAG